CACACACACCACTCCGCCCACCTGTATCACGGGGTCGTCGTGGGTGAGGGAGTCGAAGTCGTAGTTGAACACGGCCTTGCCGATGATGTCCAGGCCGAAGCGGGAGAAGAAGTTCTCCATCTCCACCGCCTTGCCCGCCTGCGGGGGCGGGGCATGGGGTGGGGCGAGGAGGCAGGTAGTGGGAGGACAGGCAGGCAGGCAGGCAGGCAGGCAGGCAGGCAGGCAGGCGGGGCAGAATCTGGCTCGGGCCATCCTGTCCCCAGGCCTCCTGCCGCCCTGTACGCACACACACAAACATCACACACACACACGAAGCCAGCGCCGCCGCCGCTCGCTGCAGCCCACCCCACCATCACCACCACCCCGTGGCGCTCACCCGCTGCGAGACGGCCAGCATGTCCGCGCCGTGCAGCGCGCAGTCGCCAAACATGTCCAGCATGGCTGCCAGGTACTTCTTGTGCAGCGCGGGCAGGATGGTGCGGCGCCGCACTTTCCACACCTCGCCGTCGGCGGGGATCAGGCCCTGCCCCATCACAAACTCCAGGATCTCAGACAGCAGTCCTTTGGAGTAGTTGTTGGCGTTGTGCAGCAGGATCTGCGGGCAAAGCGGCGGGGGGAGCGGGCAGGTGCAGGCGGCTGGCAAGAGGGCCAGGGGAGGGACAGCGCGCGCCGCAGGCAGTGCACTAGGAAACAACCCAGCGCACCCACAGCAAAACAGGCTCCAGCCAGTGCGCTGCACGCGGCGCCGTCCTGTCCACCACACGCGGCAGCAGCACCGGCTCAGCGGCAGCGCCAGTACGGCGGCAGCAGGAACAGGGTGCCGCAGCTCACGTGCTTGGCCAGTTGCGGGTCGGACACGATGACAAACTGCTTGGGCCCAAAGGACAGCTTGAACACCTTGCCGTAGATCTGGTACAGCTTGAACAGCGGCACAAACACGGGCTGCCCCACAATCTCCCGGATGTCGCCCGTGGCGGTGGGCATGCGCTCCGCCGCGTTGCGCTGCCACCGCTGCCCAATCTTGGCCAGTCGCATCGACAGCGCGCGGCCTGCGGGGCGCGGCGGGTGCTGGGGGCGTGCGTCAGGGGCTGGGAGGGGCGCGGCGGGCCGCGGGTGTGGCTGGGAGATGAGTGGCCTGCTGGTTGGCGAGCAGCCGGCACCCAGCGAAGGCACCCAGCGCCACCAGATGCCGGGCTGGCTGCCGCGGCTTGGATCAGCGGCGGCAGCGAGGCGACAGGCACACGCATGCGCATTGCAGCGGCATGCACCTGGGCCCACTGGGTCCTTTGCCAGTGCGCGGCGGATGGGCCGCGTGAGGCGCTCCTTGGTGGAGCCCGCATCAGTGAACTCCCCGCTAGCGATGCGCTGCACGCAGGAGGCAGCGGCGGCGGTGAGGCTGGTCAGAGGCTGCAAGCTTCCACACATCCTCGTGCCGACCAGCACGCACGTCTTTTGCTGTGTGCAACGCGTGTGGTCGGATTTCGCGGTGGCGGCGGTGTGCAAGCGGGGTCCCGCATGCGCCGCCACCGCTGGCCACAAGCAGCCCAGCCGCCGAGCGGCAATCGCCCGCCGCATACCTCCTCTAAGCTGTTGGAAGGCTTCCTGCTATTGGGCGGAGGCGTGGGAGGCTGCTCGTGGCCGCCTGCTGCACAGACCGCAAGCTTGCGCTGCTGCCGGGGGGCCGGCCTAGCTTGATGACCTCCTAGCCGCCTGCCTGAAAATGTACTGCAGCCGCTGCCGCCCACAGCCACGCGCTGTGCCATGGCTTGCCGCAGCCACGGGAGGGGGGCCGCTCTATAGGCTCTGCTGGCCCCTCTAGAGCCTGTTTAAAATGCAACGGAAGCAATGTGCTAGGTAACCGCTGCGGCCTGTGGGCGGAGGTGGGTGGGGCGTGGCCGGCATACACGGCAGCAGGCACCCCTGGTGGGACCAAAAGGCGCTGTAGGCGTTGCATTGCATTGTAGCATCTCATTTTTATCATCGCGATGGCGGATGACGGCGGCCGGCAGCAGAAGGAGCGCCTCGCAATTGGTGGCGACCTTGAGCAGCAGTGGCGGCTTGCCTGCGCTCTCAGGCAGCGAGCCAACCCCACCACGCTCTGCAGTCTGCTCAGAGCTCTTGGCTCCGATGGCCTGATGGCGCCAAGCAGCCAGCAGGCACTGTTGCAAAACTGGGCCGGGGGTTCACCGCTGGCGGAACTGTTGCCGCCCGACGTCGACCACCAGCGGTGAGGGCTGACCAGTGGCAATGCTGATGCTGTGCTGCTGCATGGCAAGTGCGTGCGGGTGTAAAACGGTGCACCATAGATGTCCCATGCCGATCACCTGCCTCGCCCGCCGCAGGCGTGTGCTGCGGGCGGTGGTGCTAGCTGCGGAGCAGGATGGGCAGGAGGTGTGCGAGGAGCTCATGCAGCTCTACAGCGCCCGTCTGCTGGGCCAGGCAGGTGCAGTCGGCGGCGGCTCAAGCACCGCACTGTTAGCCGCCCCGCAGCCGCAGCCGGGCTGGTGCTACAAGCTGTACGGCTATGCCCCGGCAGGAGAGCCCACCGCCGCCACCTGGCACCGTATGGGCGTGCTGGACCGGCAGGCGGTGGAGCGCTGCCAGCAGGAGCAGCAACATTGGCGGCAGGAGCTGGACGGCCAGCAGCAGGGGGAGGAGGATGGCGAGCCCGGGCTGCTGCCGCCGCTGCCTGTCACGGCCGGCGATGCGCGGCACGGCCTGCTGGCCCTCCACGTCTCGCTCAATCTGCTGGAGGGCGGCACCGGCTGCCACGAGTGGGAGGCGGGCTTCTGGCTGGCAGAGTGGGTGCTCAGCCACCCGCAGCTGGCAGCAGGTGCGGGGCTGGGAACAGATGGGGTCGCGGCAGCTTGGCCAGCTGCGCTGCTTTCTCGTGCTCGCCAGATGGGCACCCACACACCCCTCCGAACCCCTTGTGCGGTGCGCTGGCATGGCCCGTGCAGGCCGCTGCTGCCTGGAGATTGGGTGCGGGGCAGGCATGGTGGGCGTGGCGCTGCACCGCTGTGGCGCCGCTGCCGTCGTCTGCACAGATGGCGATGCCCAGACGGTGGCCAACTGCCGGCTCAACTTGCAGCTGAATGGCGTGCCGCTTTTGGCTGCCAGGGACGGCCCGGCAGATGCAGCTCCTGCCGTGGGTGACGCCACTTTCGGGGATGGCAGCAAAGTGCCGTGGGCAGGCTGCCGGCAGCTGTGCTGGGAAGATGGGTGGGCTGCCGGGGGGGGCCAGGAGGCGGCAGGCACCCAGCAGCCAAGTCTGGTCTTGGGAGCGGACCTGCTCTATGACCCTGGTGTCATCCCGGTCCTGCTTGCCCTGCTGAGGCAGGTGCTGGCAGCAGCACCGGCACAGGAGGATGGCAGCAACGTGGAAATGCAGCAGCAGCAGCCGGCAGCGTACATCGCCACCACTCTGCGAAACGAGGCCACCCTGCATCAGTTTTTGGTGGCGGCGGAAAGCGACCCTGCCATTTACATCCAGCAGCTAGCGGGGCCTGCAGCACGCAGCTCAGCGGGCAAGGCGGCAGCAGCTGGTGGGGTCGAGGAGGGCGCTGCTGGTCGGGATGGTGGCTGTGATGCCAGTAGGGGCGGGAGCAGCCCCGCGATTCGTTTTCAGCACGTGCCGGAGCTGGAGGCTGCCCGCAGCCGTATCTTCCTGCACAGAATCACCCTGGCGCCGTGATGAGCCCTGCTAATGCCCACTGCTTTTGTAGAATCATCAACAGTGGATAAATCTGTTGGGCATGTGCACCAAATCCATGCACGTGTGTGTAAGACAAAATGCATGTGCAGAGAGGGGTACACAGACAAACACATTAGTGTACAGACACAGGGGAGGCGGTGGGTGTGCTGCTTGCTGGTGGCTGAATGAAGAGGTCGGAGTGAGAGGGAACCCCTGAGCACACTGCCTGAGCACAGAGCCAGCTGCCACTCAACATCTGCCCAAGGCAGGTTGACCCATTGCTGATAGAGTTGCCACCACTCATTTCACTCCATCATGTCTGAGTGGTGGTGTTGCTGCTGCTGTAGCTGCTGCTCCTGCTGCTGCTGCTCCTGCTGCTGCTGCTGCTGCTGCTGCTGCTGCTGCTGCTGCTGGGCCCCAAACACAAAGGCGCCCTGGGTGGGCGAGGATCCAAAGTTGAGGTTTGGCTGCTGCTGCGGGCTAAACGTGGGCGCACCCGCCGCCGCCGCCGCACCGCCGTCGCCAAATGCGCTGCCGCCTGCAGCGCCAAACGCGGGCCAGCCAAAGGGCCCCGCTCCGGCCTGCTGCTGCTGGCCCGCCGGCCCGCTGGGCTGCTGGCCCACTGGCACCTGGAAGCCGCTGGCATTGGGCCCAAGCACCTGCAGCTCTGCGGCCTGCAGCCGCGCAGCGTCGTCCTTTGTGATGGCTATCTGCGGCCGCCGGTCCTTGACCCAGTGGTAGGCCTCGCTGCGGGGGACATGAGGCAAAGGGGAACGGGTGTGTGAGGGGGGTACAGCACTTTTGAGCAGGGCATTGCCTCCCGAGCCCGTCTAAACAGGCAACCCCCGTGTGGACAAGGGAGCCAGCACAAGGCCACGTGCCAGCACTGCAACTATGGACGCACGCTCAGCGGGCGCGGCTGCACCTCCACCCCAGCACCCCCACCTGAGGCGCCAGGTGTTGCGCCGCATGAGGTAATAGATGACCACCACCGCGGAGCGAGACAGCCCGCTCATGCAGTGCACCAGCACCTTGCCGCCCTGCCGCTGCACCTCGTCTGCACGCGGCAAGGCGAAAGGGAGGGGTGGGATGCAGGCCTGCGAGGCCCATGCTGGCGCTCCAAAGGCAGGACGGGACTGCAAACATGGCCTGGCGGCGAGAGCCGCCTGGCGCACCTAGGAAGCAGTAGCACTCGTCCAGTGGCGGCGGGCTGGCGGACACTGTGTGGTAGGTGAAGGAGTTCTTGTACAGCGCCTGGCAGCTGGGCACCGTCTGCACGGGGCAGGGGCGCCAGGGGCACGGCGGCAGCGGCTGTCAGACCATGCTTTTCCGGGGCCCGCAGCGCAGCGCACAACCAGCACGCGGCGGCCGCGAGGCTCACGTTCAGGATGTTGCCTATGCCCAGCGTCTTGAGGATTTCGTGGCGCGAGGCGTGGTCGTAGCTGCCCAGGAAGAGGAAGCCGGGCACGATCTCGGAAGGGAAAGCGCTGGGCGGCTTGACGGCGGGCAGAGGCGCAGCGCCCGCGGCGCACCCCGCCGGCATCTCCAGGCGGTGGCCGCAGATGGCGCAGGGCTCGCCGCCGTAGTACTGCATGGCAGGAGGGTTGTGAAACGTGGGTGGCAGCAGCTGGGCAGGCTGCGGATGGGCTGGCAGGGAAGGATCAGCGGGGACCGGCATGCGCAACAGGCTGCAGAAAACCACCACGCTCGATGGCCGCAGCCGTGCTAGGCCCTCACGTCGTGGTAGTGGCCACACACATCACATGGCTCCTCCCTTTCACGCTTCTGCTTCATTGTGGCGGGGGGCTGGGTGCCGCCGCCGGTCGGTGACCGCCGGTGCAGGGGTGGCTGGCTGCAGTGGACGCGTCGGGGCCCGCGCTGGCGGCCGCGGCTGCGTCCCCTGAGCCTCGTCTGCGTGCCACAGGTGGAACAAGGTCGCCCAGTCAAGCCAATAGCGTTCCGGCCCGCCGATCACGAGGCTGGGCGGGAAGGCTGCGACGATCTGGAGAGCGGAGCGATGTGTGGAATTGCGAAAGCCGGTCCAAGCGCCCTTTTGCCTCTCCTGCCGTGAGCACGGTTTTCTTGAGTTTTCTTTTGCGACGGCCCCGCCCATCCCGAGCGCCCTGCACTCATCTGATTGTGCAGGATGAGCTCCCAGCCGCTCCCGCGTGCTGTGCTGCGCAAGGCTGCCCCTGCGGCAGGTGTCGTGGGCAGCAGCAGCGGCGCCCAGGCTGGGGAGGAGGGAGGGTTTGCGGGACGGGAGGGCATCCAGGTGAAGAAGCAGCCGAAAGGCGGAGCCCACCCCCAGCAGCAGCCTTCGGCCGCCAACTTGGCTTCCGCTCCGCCTGAACCGCCTCCGCTGTGGCTGTCCGCACTCTGGTCAAGTCAAGGCCATGCACTCTCTGCAGGATGGTGAACCGTACTGCCTGCTGGATAGCACCACCTGGCAGATGTGCCCTCAGGCTGTGGCCGGGCCGCTGACAGCCGCGAGCCACGACTTTTGCGTGACGGGAGTGCTGGGGGCACAGGGCCTGTGCAAGTCTGCCTTCCTGAACCGCCTGCTGGGTAGGTGTGGCAGGCCTTGCCCTTGCCAGCAGCGCCAGACCATTGGATGTTGGAATGGTGGCCCTGCTGGATGGTGCCCCCTTTGATGGAATAGCGCCACCACTTCCCTCGACACCTGGTCTGCTGCCCTCCTTGCGCACAGGGTTTTGTGGTGACCTGCCTGCGGCGGGGCCCCACCCCACCAGCGCCTTTCCTGTGTGGCCAGGCACGGCTGGGAGGCAGGCGCAGCAGCAGCGGTGGCAGCACTGCACGCGCGGCATCACGCTGCGCGTCAGCGCCGACCGCCAGGTGGCGCTCGATACCCAACCGCTGTTCTCTGCCTCTGTTCTGGCAGACATGGTGGCGCGGTGGGAGCAGCAGCCACCGGCGGCGCTTGCGGCGCCGGCGGTGGCGGCCGCGGGCGAGGGCAAGGCGGCGGCGGTTCCTTACGAGGGCGTGCAGGCGCTGGCGCAGCTGCAGCTCGCCGTGCTGCTCCTCTCCACCTGCCACCGTGTGCTGGTGTTTTGCGAGGGGGTGGGCGATGGTGCACGTTGCACCTGGGACTTCATGTTGACCGCTGAGATGCTGGCTCGCGGCATCCCTGACCCCAGCCTGCCGCCCCGCGACCCGCAGCAGCCAGCAACGGTGGCGGCAGGGGCAGCGGCGGCAGCGGGGGCGCAGCCGGCGCGGCAGGCACCCCCGCAGGAGCACCTGGCAGAGGTGGTGCTGGTGCATGTGGTGGCGGCAGGCAGCGGGGAGCCCAGCGCGGCCCAGCTGCAGCTGCTGGACCGCCAGCTGGACGCCTTTTTCGCCTCCTCACGCCTGCGCCGCCCAGGTGCGCGCGTGTGTTGGTGGTGACACCACTTTCCTTCTGTGTCCTTGCTTCCTTGCGTCATGTTTTGCTTGGCCCTAGCCACTGCCTGCCTGCTCTGCAGGTCCGCTGCGTATGCTGGAACAAAGCGGCGCCAGCAACGGCAGCGGCCATAGCACAAGCGGCGGCAGCGGCCCAGGCGAGGGCATGAGCTACTGGGTGCTGCCAGCACTGCCAGGCGGCAGCTCCGGCAGCGCAGCCGACCCAGCAGCCTGGGCCACGCTGGTGGCGCAGCTGCTGGGCCGGCCATGCCCGCCCCTTGCGCGGCGGTGCTCGGGGCAGCAGTGGCTGCGGGGCGTGGCGGGCGACTGCTGGCGGGCGGTGCGGAAGAGCACCGACATCGCCACCTTCTACTCCCGCCTGGCCCGTACGCAGCTCAAGGGCGCCGCCGGGTGGGGGCTGGCGCGGCCGTGAGGCCAGCCGCCGCGGCGCCTGCGGGGGAGGGCGCCGGCGGGAGGGGGCGGTAAGCCCAGGGAGGGCGGCCCACCACACGGCCGCGGCTCACGTTTTGGGGCTTGCATCTGCGCTGGTTTTGGGCCGCACAGCTTGCCAGTGGTGTAAAAACGCTAGGGCAATCCCACATGTCCCAGCACGAATCGTGCCAAATATCACTGGCCGATCGGCGGCGCACACTCTGCACTTCCCTCCTCGGGTGTTCTGCGCTCCCCAGGGCACACTGCACCATTCCTGAGCCCTGATCACTGCCCCAAAGCCCATCCTGCAAACGCGCCAACGCCATGGCGAGTCTGCAGGACCTGCAGGGCTTTGTACGCACGGATAGCTTCTTCACACAATGCCCCGCCCACGCCACCAGCGCTGCAAGGGAGGCGCAGCTCAACTTTTACGATTGCTCAAAAAACCAGCCCTGCTGCGCCCTGTGTGTGGCCTCCCAGCCGCTGGCGCCCGTCTTACAGGTCAGTGGGCTCGAAATGGGGCAGGGTGGGCACAATGTGGGGGCGCAGCAGCGGGAACTGAACCGGCGGCGATCTTCGAGTCCAGCATGGGCGGGAAGGGCGTGCAAGGGGCCCTGGGGAGCCGCCCCAGCCCCCATCGCGTCCCCCGATGGACAATGTGGCCTTTGCGTGGTCGCATGGCTCGCGTATTGCGGGCCGCGGCACCTGCAGCTGCTGGTGGCGGCGCCCACGCCCCGCGCACGACGCCGCCGAACGGCGCCCGCCCGCCCCTGCCCGCAGGTCCGCCGCTCCAGCTACCATGATGTGGTGAAGATGGCAGACATCTCCCGCTACGCAGACATCGGGGGCATCCAGGGTGGGTGGCTGGGGCCTCTGCGCTTTGGGTTTGTACGATTCTGGCTGCCCGTGCCAGCCGCCGCTCTGCCGGCACCGCCGCCGCCGCCGCCGAGTCCAGGCGCGGCGGTGTGGCGCTGTGCCTTCGTCCGCCTCCTCCCTCCTCCTCTGCGTGCCTCCCCTCACGTCCTCCACCCCCGCCGCGCTCCCGCGCCCGCGCAGGCTACACCATCAACAGCTCCAAGGTCATCTTCCTGCGCCGCCGCCCGCAGCCACGGCCGCCCAAGGGCGCCGTGGGCGCCAGCCTCTGCACCGTGTGCAGCCGCCACCTGCAGGACGTCAGCCACTACTGCTCGCTGCAGTGCAAGCTGGACCATCTGGAGGGCGTGAAGCACGTGTCGCTGCGCAAGCTGGCGCCCGCCGCCGCCGACGACGCCAGCCACAGCAGCGGCAGCAGCGCGCGCAGCAGCGGCGGCGCCCCCGAGACGCCCTCCCACCTCGACTCCCTGCGCATGCTGGACGCCGCCGCCGCCTCCAGCGACAGCGACTGCACGTGAGCGCCAGCCCCTGCCCCGCGCCGTGCCGCCTGCCCTGCCTGCCTCGTATGCCGGAGGGGTTTGACCTGAGTTGGTTTGGCTGCTGCCAGCCCTCTGGGTGGCTGGTTGGCTGACCCTGCTGCTGCTGCTGCTGGCCCCGTGTGTCCCGAGTGCAGGGGAGCCGACTTCCACGGACACCCCGCCAAGCGGCGCAAGGGCTGCCCGCTGCGTGCCCCCTCCACTTAGCGCACTAGTGTTCCGCCTTCCGGCGCACCCCAATATACTAGTAGCGCCCCTCTCTCCGGCCCCCCGCGCCTGTCACTCGTACTGAGCAGCGCCCCGCCCTCTTGTGGGCCCTCTGCTGGTCTCTGTACCCTGAGTCTTTCGTCTCACTCACTGTCTGCCTTCCGCCCTAAACCCCCTTCCTTTCGTTGTTGGCCCGCACATCGCCCCAAGCATTGAATGATTCGTGGCTGGCGGCGCATGGCCGCACTCGGCGTGCATGCGCCCGCCCCAGATTTGATGCTGTCGAGGAAATTGCTCATCTCATCGGTACACACATCCCACCCACCCTCCTGCGGCCCTCAGCGCTGCCAGGTGTCGCTGCCGGCCTGTGCCCGCAGTTGGCCCCACCCTTCCACCCGCACCCCAACCGAATGCCTTCTCTCTTGTCTCCTTCCCTTCCTTTTCATGTCATACATCCCGCTCCATCGGAGCTGGGCGGGGTGTCCGCCCCACCAGCCTGCTATTTGAAACCCTGGTGTCTTTGAATTGCTTATGGGCCTTGCATGCTTTCAGTTCCTGCCCTTCCTCAGAGCGCTCCGCACTGTGTCTCACCCGCCGCCTTGCCCCCATCCGCTCAGGCCTGTCTGGGCGCCTCTCTGTCTTTTCTCCGCTGCCTGCACGCCGCCGCCTGCGATGGCCGCGAGTGCAGCCCCAACATCCTACCCTGCTTGACCGTGTCTGTTCCTTGAAGCAGTACCCTGTACACTAGCGTGCTGATGTGTGCCTTCCTCTCTCCCATGTACGCCTAGCTCGCCACGACCCCTATCCCCATGTCCCCTTGCATTTGCGCCTAAATGCAATCGTTTGCCCATGACGGTCTATGCTTCTTGTTCCCCGCTTCTCAAACCTCTTCCATAAACGCAACCGAGAAGAAAATCCATGATCCACCAACACTGTCTTTCCAACCGCATGACTCCGATCCGATGCCCTGGGCGTTTGGCCCACGATGTGATTTGTCGCCGTTTCTCACGCGCCTCGTTACCTCTTTTCGCTGTTCAAGTGTCGTGCGTCGACACCTTTTAGAGTTAGCTTTTGGCTGTTTCCCAGCACTGACGTAACAAATGACCCCGAATGCCTGTCTTACACATAAAATGTAATAGTAAAGGTCTCTCCTCCTGTCTCAAATCATCAAAATCCAAAATCTACCTGGAAGGGATTGTGGGAACGCAACAAACGGCGGGAGCCTGCGTGCTGCGCTGTGGCACAGCACAGCAGGCCGCAAGCCCAAATCGTTATGTGTACGCCGCCCAGCGATCTACAGCCAACGTTGCAGATTCCATTCCGTCCGCGCCGCCCTGGCTGCAGCTGTCGGCCCGGCAGGTGCAAAACGTATCGAGGGCAGGGCGTGGTCGGGCGCTGGGATAGGGCTGCCAGGCTTTCAGCGGCGGTAACATCCATTTGGCCGCACCGCCAGGCCCGGCGCTAGTGTAGCTCGCCGTGATGGCTGGAGTGCTCTTGGCAGCCTGCCTGGTGAGCCGCCCTGGGGCCCTGGGGCGGCGGTGCACGCACATCAGTGAGCGGGCGGCACAACAAGGTGCTGCAGCGGGGAGCAGGGGCTGCTGCCGCCCAACTCCTCCGCCGCCTGGGCCGGTCCGGCATGGCATGTGCAGGAGGCTTACCAGGCGCAGGCGCATGCCATGCCCGAGGACGCCGAGTTCCCGACGCTGGCGTGGGAGGGGTGGAAGGAGATTGCGGAGAAGCTGGGCATCCTGGGCACGGTGGACTCGCCCATCTTCCGGCAAGCCGCTGCCTTCCGCTCTCCGGCGCTGGCCGAGCCTGCGTGCATGCGGGTGCTGCTTGTGCACCCCCACGGTGGCCTGCTTGCTGCGGCAGGCAATGCCGCCAGGATCTGCCCACGGCTTCGAGCGCCTGCTGCGCGCGTGTGCGTGCATGCTGTGTGTGTGCAGGGTGCGCCAGGCCGTCAAGATTGCTGTGTCTGCCGATGCTGCCAGCCTCAAAGGCGACCACGTCAAGTTTGGTGCGGTGGAGGAGCGGCTGTGCGACATACTGTCGGGCGGCGCCTCGCTGTCCCAGGTGCCAGACACGGTGAGCATGGCGCAGGGGGGCGGGGCAGGGGCGCGGGTGGGGAAAAGAGCTGCGGCTGGTGCAGCTGGCCAGGTGGGCTGCCTTGAGCAGCTGGTGTTTGCGCCAGATCACGGCATGCATGCTGCTGGAGGCCAGTCGTGCATGCTTGGCGCTGGCTGCCGCTGGCTGCCGCCGGCTGCGTCTCGCCGCCGGCGAACCACTACGCTGCATCCAGACCCCGAGCCGCGTCCCTGCCCTACCCCACCACCTGTCGCCGCCTGCAGCAAGCGGAGGAGTTGATGCTGCGCCCCGCCAAGGCCAGGATTGTGCTGCGGGAGCGGCGGCGGCGGCCTGGGCGCCACAATAGCGTGTCCCGCTACGAAGTGCTGTTCCACAGCCACCCCCACGAGGAGGGCACCTGGTGGGGGCGGCGGCGCGGCTGCTGCTCGCGCTGCGCTGTGCTGCGCTGGGCTGGGCTGGCTGCACCAGCCGCCTTCTGGCCTGGGCTGGCGGCTGGCTGCCCCAACCCGAGCCCGTGCCCAGCAGCAGCATGGTGTGCGAGAGGTGCCAGGTGCCTCACCGTGCCTTGCCCGTGCACCGCTGGCCGCCGATGCTGGGGGGTGCAGGCTGACGCAGGGGGAGCTGCGCCGCCACTTCCCCGACACCTGGACCGAGATGATTCGAGACTATAATGAGCGGAAGAGCAGCGGGCGCCTGCTGGAGCCCAGCCCCTCTGATGACGAGGGGGAGGGGGCGAGGGCAGCAGGCGGCGCGGGGGAGGCAGAGGCGGGCAGTGGCGCAGAGGCGCGCAGCGACGTTCGGCATCCTGCGGGGCAGCAGCAGGCAGAGGGGCAGCAGCAGCGTGCGGCGCAGCAGGAGGAGGAGGGAGGAGCGGCGGCGGCGCCGCAGCATCCTCGCGGGCAGCCGCCCCCGCACCAGCCGCAGGAAGGGGAACAGGCACGACGGCAGGCACCACAGGCGTCAGCGGGGGGCGCCTCGGTCCTGCGAGCAGCAGTACAGGGCAGGGGGAGTGGCGTCAGCAGTGCTGCGAGGAGGCTGAGTGCCGCCGGCGGGCGTCTGCCGCCGGCTCAGATGCCGGTGGCTCCCCGCAACATCCCTCTCGAGTCCCAGCCTGAGCAGGAGCAGCCGCTGCACGGCGGGCAGGGGCAGCCCCTGCCGCCCTCCGTGCTGCTGGCGGGTGTGCGCATGCAGCCCGTGGAGCATCAGGCAGCTGCGGCGCAGGTGAGGGCGCCGCGCCGCGCTGCGCCCGCCGCGGCTCGGCAGCAGCCGACAGCGCCAGCCCAGCCGCTACCTCCGCCGCCGCAGCCGTCGACCTTCTACGTGCTGCCCTTGCTGCCGCTGCAGGCTGCCTCCCCGCTGCAGCCGGCCTATGGCTCGGGCTACCGTGCTGAGCAGGGGGAGGAGGCCAGGCGTTTCTTTGTGCAGCCGCCGGCGCAGGCGGCGGCGCCTGCCCCAGCGCCAGCCCACCACAACGCCCGTGTAGTGCCACACTGGGGCCCGCCCGCGGCGCCTGCAGCGGCGGCAGGGACAGGCGCTTCGGGCCCAGCCGCCCAGGCGGACTCCCTCCTCGCCCGGTTCTTCCAGCCCACGGCGCAGCAGGCAGGCGCGCCGCCCGCCTACGCGCCGCCTCTCATGCGCAGCGTCCCTGCGCCGCAGCCTCCGCCGGGGTACGCGTCAGGGGCGGCGCCGCAGGCGCCAGCGCCCATCCCTCCGCCGGGCTACCGTGCAACAGCTGGCGGCTATGCCGGGGCTTCGCCGTTGCAGCCCCCGCAGCCGTCGCCGGCGCGCGTGGCACTGTCGCCCGTGTATGGCAGCCGCCCCGCAGCAGTGGCCAGCTTGCTCGGAGGCGGGGGCGCCCCCCTCGCGGCGCCCCGGCCGCCAGCTGGCTACAGGTCACCTGGGGGCGCGGCGCCCGCCGTGGCGCCGTCGCCCGGCGGGCCGTCTCGTGTGGTGTCGGGGCAAGCGCTGTACCAGGCCCTGCGCCGCAAGCGGCCGGCGGCAGCTGCGGCGGAGGGGCCGCCTGCTGCGGGGCCGCTTCCCCCGCCTGTTGCTGGTGCGGTGCAGGCGGGCGAGGTGTCATTTTCCTCCCTTTTCGGAGAGCAGCGGCCATCGGCTCCAGTTCGCGCTGCACGGCCGTACTCCTCGTTTTTCGGCGAGCAGGGGCCAGCGGCGTCGGTGCCGCAGAGGCCCGCGCCTGCCCCCGCCACGTCGGTGCAGCAGGCGGCGGCAGCAGTTGGCGGCGGCATGGATGAGCAGCAGCAGCCGGCCCCCAAGCGCCAGCGGAGGGCTGCTGGCGGTGAGAGCGTGGCCTGCCTGCTGCTGGCGGCTGTGCTCTGCTGGCCCTGTGTGCCTCCGATGCTTGCCCGCGTTGTGCGGATGCTGCCTCATGTCTCCCAACCCCTCTTTCGTTTCCCGCCTGCTCCCGCCGCGCCCCGCCTCCTCCTCCCCTGCAGCGCCACCCCCTGGTCTGGCTGCGGTGGCAGCGGCCGCAGAGGCTGCGGCTGATTCCGCCGTGGCCGCCGCCATCAACACGGTAGCAGGGGTGGCGGCGGCAGCGCAGCAGCAGCAGGGCGAGCCGGGTGGCTTGCCTGGGTCGGGCCAGCAGCGGCTGCCCACGCTTGCGCCGGAGCAGGCGGCGGCGGCAGATGCATCCACAGACCAGGGGCCACCAGATGAGGCGGAGCTGGCTTTCCAGCAGGTGGGAGCTGCCGGCTGCCGGCTGATCACAAACTGCTGCTGCTCTGGCCCTCATGCGCATGCTGTGCTGCAGCTCTGTTGCCTGTGGCCCCACTCGCACCGCGGTTCTGCTGCGGTCTGCCGGCACCTGCGGGGCTCATGACCGGCACCGTGCGTGCCTGCAGGGCCTGCCCATCATCGCCTCCATGTTTCAGAACAAGGCCCCCAGCCCCTGCAAGCTGGACCGGCAGGGCCCCCTGCTGCCGCCCGGCGACCAGCAGGCGCCGCAGGCGGCGGACGCGGCGGCGGCAGGTGAGCAGCCGGCCGCAGCTGCGGCGGCGGCGCATGGCCCTATGGAGCAGGCTGCCGCACCATGCGTGGCGGGGCCCGTGTGCTGGGGGCGCGGCAAGCGGCAGCCGTCCAGTTACGGGCTGGACCCCAGCGGCACAGGCGCATGTGCCTGCTCGAAGCTGAGGTGCCTCCTCACTCTGCCTGCCCCCACGCGTGCCCTGCCTGCCCTCCTGCCTGCCCTCCTGCCTGCCTGCCTGCCTGCCTGTCTACCTGCCCAGGCGAGGACGACTTCTTTGATGCTCAGGAGGAGCTGCAGCCCGAGGGAAGCCCGCGGCAGGCCGGCGCGGCGGCGGCGCCGGCGGCGCAGGCCCCAGCCCCGCTGCACCAGCTGCTGCGCACGCAGGCCGATGAGGTGCAGTGGACCAACCGGTACGACGAGGAGGGGGGCGATGGCGCAGACTCCCTGCCCGACACCCAGGCAAGCTCCCGCCGCGCAGCGGGCAGCAGATCGCTGGCGCCTGCACTTGGTGCCTGCGGGAGCCTCGTGCCAAATGCGCTGGTTGGCTGCGGCATCGGGCTGCTGGGCCGTTGCATGCGCCGTGTGCATGCCGTCACGCCCGCCGCTGTGCTGCCGCTCGTCACACGCCTGGTGCCCCTTTTTTGCAGGTTGTGCAAGGCGGGAGCGGCGAGGAGGGTGGCGAGGTGGTGCCTGATACCGAGGAGGAGCAGCAGGTGGTGCAGGCACAGGTGGTGCAGGCACACCGCAGAATGCAGGCTGGCATGCCGGGTGCCTGTGTGCTGTGGGGGGTGAGAAAGCCCAGGCAGGCTGCACTGTTTCCTGCCCCTCGCTGCTAACCTCACACCTGCCCTGTGCCTGCCGCTTCACCCCGGCTGAGTGCAGCCCGCCCCCGCGGCACAGAGGGGGCAGGATGAGGCGGCGCCACAGCCAGATCAGGCGCAGCAGCAGCAGCAGGCCATCCAGCGGCAGGACGCGGAGCCGGCTGCTGCTGCTGCCGGTCGAGGAGTGGCGGAGGTGGTGGATTTGGCTGAGGAGGAGGAGGGTGAGGAGGAGGAGGAGGATGACGACCCTGACAGCGACCACAACCTGGCCCTGCGCATCAAGGAGGGCACGATCAGAGGTGCGGCCTGCCGCCTGCTGCCTGCGTGTCTGGCTTATTGATGGAGCTGATCGCGCCGCGCGTGCCTCGTGGCCTCCCCTCGCGCGTGCGCCTCGTATCCTGCGCGCCTGTGCCCTTACCAGGCATTAACACTGCTGCATGGTGGTGGCTGGCCCCTGGCAGGCGCCAAGACGACAGAGGAGGGCGTGGAGCTGTGGCTGCAGTGGGCAGACGGCGAGCGGGCCGTGGTGCCGGCGGCCAGGTGGGGCACGCTGCGGCGGGGAGCCGTGCCCAAGCTGCATGTGCGCCTGCTGCACATGGCCGACGCCGCATGGGCAGGCTCCCCACATTCTTGCGCTTGAGCTCCGCCTCTGCTGCGCCTGACCTCCCGCTGCACCTCTGCCACGACCCTTGCCTGCGCCGCAGGCTGCACTCGCTGGCCCAGGCCGACTGCCCCGGCTGCTGGTCGCTGCAGAAGCTGATCCAATTCTACGAGAGCAAGACGCGAGGGGGGAGCCGCGCCAAAAAGGCCCGCGGCGGGCGGTGACGGTACCGGTCCGCTGCCAGGGGGAGGTGGTTGTTGGCATCACGACCCTGTGCTTGCTGTTCGTACAGCAAGTTACAGTTGTTGGAGTTCATTGATGATGCATGCTTTCTAACCTGCCTGGCATATTTGGTTCCAATCTATTGCGCATGGCGAGTAAAAGTACAAGCCTGGGGCTGTGCCTAGATCCTAACTCTGTCCTAAAGGGTAGCAGAGCTCACGCTGCCGATGCCTGCTTGTCCACAGCCGCAGGCGTCTCTTCCGCCGGCGGTGCTTCCGCTGCTGCTGCTTGCTGCTGCTCTTGTCGCAGGGTGTCTGCCACTCCTATCGACTGCCACTGCTGCTGGCTGCCGTCCTGTACTGCGCGCCACACGCGCTTGAGGGGCCCCGCCATCTGGGTGGGCGCGTTGGGCCGCTGCGGCTCTCCCCGCCACGTCAGCACGCCCCATGCCTTGCCGTGCTTGCCGTCCTGCACGCACGGCACGCAGCGCAAGGGCGGGGTGAGAAATGCAGGCCCCACCAGGGTGGATTCAGCCAACACGACTTGCTACCCCCAGGTGCCAGGCGGCGACTGACGACGCTGTGGTCCCAGCGCCCGGTTGTGCCTGTGCTGGCTCACTGGCGACAGCTTGACTCTAGCGATGGTCCAGTAGCAGTCATCCGTCCAGCTGGTACGGCTCAGCTTGCTGCCCAGGCCATGCTGCGGCATCCTGCTGAGGATCTCAAAGGCTGCACGGGGCCGGGAGCAGGAACAAGTCGGCACCATTTGGAGGCGGCGGCGGCGGCGGCAGCGGTGGCAGGGCCTTGCATAGTGCGCCCTTGCCGTTGCAGGACACCAATTATGCCGCGCCTCGGATCAGCAAGCGGCCAGCTCCAGGCCCCAGCGCACCGTTCTTGGCCTGTAGCAAACAGGAAGACCTCATGGCTGCTGCTGCTGGCCTGCCAGGGCAAGACCGAAAACCTGGATGTGGTGCTGGTTTTGATGCTGCTTGGATTGGGGCCGGGAGAAGGCTCCGCCACCACTCGGGTGTCGCAGCGTGATGAGGTCCAGGAGCGGCGATGGGTGCTTGAACGGCCGGTATGGACGGTGTGGTGGACCTGGATTCGAATAAATGCTCAATTGATCGACACAGAGGGGTGGTCGCCCGCCTCGGCCCCCTCGGACCCTGGGCGTGCACTGGCAGGGCGCGCCTGGCGCATGAATAGCAGGTCCGGGCCTGCCCCGGCCTCTACCTCGGCCTAGAGGACGCCTGTTCAGGAGGAGGGCCGGCAAGATGACGACCCGTGAGTGCTGGCCTGCATGTTGCGATGGAGCAGCGTGTGGCAGACGGGGCACCGCGGGGCGCGGGTGCTGCCCCAAGGATGCTGGGGGAGCCATGCACCGGCCAGAAGGCCCAGGCGGCGGGCCGGCAGTCTGGCGCCTCGGCCATGCAGGCTGTGCAGGCGGGGGGGTCCTTTGGCGCACACCGGGAGCAGCAGCAGCGTGTGATGCCGCGACCTGCTCGCCCGTGGGCAGACGGCGCTGCGATGCCGCCCGCCCATCGCCCGCCGCCGCTGCCTCCGCCCCGTCGCTGCCGCGCAGGCCTCAAGGCCCACCGCAAGAAGCGCGGCCACGTGTCGGCGGGCCATGGCCGCATCGGCAAGCACAGGAAGCACCCGGGCGGCCGCGGTAACGCCGGTGGCCAGCACCACCACAGGTGCGCACCTGGCGCACCCATCACTTGTGACTGTGCCGTCGCCCATGCTGTGCCAGGGCACGCCCATGCTGAGTGGAGGCATGCTGCGCTCTGGCCCGCAGGATCATGTTTGACAAGTACCATCCCGGTTACTTCGGCAAGGTGGGCATGCGGTACTTCAACTACAAGAAGAACAAGTACCACTGCCCCATCATCAACCTGGATAAGGTGCGGTGCTTGGGGAGGAGGTCTGAGGGTGTGTCAGGGAGGTCTGCGAGGCAGCCAGGCATGTGTGGGAGGCAGCAGGAGTGCGCATGGCGCAGCAAGGGGGCAGGGGCAGAAACGGCATGGCGCGTAGGCCGCGGTGGCACCCCCAGCCGGCCCGCCACATGCGGAGTCATGGCATGGAGCATGGATGCAGCAGCGATGGAGCAGCAGCATTCCTTTTCAAAGAAGCAGCCATAGGAGCAGCAGGAGCAGCTGGTGCGAGACGAGAAGCGACAGGTGCTGGCGAACCATCAGCGGCGATGTGGACAGCCTTCACCGGCACAGTCACACGCCGGTGGCAGCAGCACTGGAGGCTGGGCAGCCGCGCGCAGCGAGGCCGGCCCGACAGTACGCACGGGAGTGCACGGCACCAGAGCTGTGCGCGCTTGTGACAGCCAGCGCAGCGGCAGCCTACCCAGCAGCTGGTCGTGATAAGGCAGCATGGATCCAGCGGGGCGGGGAATGCCGAGGTTCACACCCACCGCAGCAGCTCCCCCTCGGGCGCATGCCCGCCCAGTGCCTGCCACCTTGCCCGTTTCTGACTCCCGGTGCCGTGCCTGCCGCCGCTGCGCCGCGCGCCGCAGGTGTGGACGCTGGTGGGCGAGGAGGCTCGCGTGGCTGCTGCCAAGGACACCGCCACCGCCCCCGTCATCGACATCACCAAGCACGGCTACTTCAAGCTGCTGGGCAAGGGCCAGCTGCCGCAGCAGCCCGTGGTGGTGCGCGCCAAGTTTGTGAGCAAGCTGGCGGAGAAGAAGATCAAGGAGGTGGGCGGCTGGGGAGGGCCGGGCCTGGCCTGGGGCTGGGTGGTGGGAGGTGGCGGATGGCGGTGGAGGCCCCTCGGAGGGGCTGTGGTGCATGCCATGACAGCAGGGTGGGGCGGGCCCCGCAGCTGTGGCTGTGGGTTGCTGGAGAGCTGAGGGCCCGGCAGCATGCCCGCTCACATGGAAAGGGTGGCGGCGGGGCAGGCCCTACAGTGTGCTGACGCGATGCATGCCGCGCGCCTCGCCTTGCTCCTGCAGGTCGGCGGCGCGGTGCAGCTGGTGGCGTGAGCAGCCACAACAGCAGCAACCTTCAGCAGCAGCAGCCCCCCCTTCGTTTGAGCTACTTTGTCCCTTGGCGCATGCAGCCCGCAGCAGCCGCCTCTGGCGAGCTGGCTGGCGGTTCCTTCCTAGCAAGTGTGTAATGCACACTCGACAGCGACTGGCAGTCAGCAGCGCTGTGATCAGGGAGAGGCTAGAGGGCTTGGGGGCATACCATGCATATATGTGCGGATATGTTCAGTTTTGCAGCGGGCATCTCGGGCTAAGTTGCGCATGCGCAGCACCCCCGCATGCGTGGCACCCCCGGGTGCCACGCCAGGTGGCATGTACATCATATGCTTATCGCCACGCAGAATTTCAAACTTCAAGCCCGCGCCAATTGGCCGGGAATTCTCGTCTAGAGCCGAGTGAAAGGAGACTCTCGTCGTTGCCGTGGAGCCTCTGCCGCCTCGCCTCTCCAGTCATTCTGCCGCTGCATTTTCGCATCGCAGCAGTCACGGTGGCTTGAAAGTCCTGCCAGGGTGCGCCGCTTCACCCCGTGCCAGACCGCTGTCGGCATCAGGCAGCAGGGCCCTGAACAGCCTTCCTCACCAGTCACCGCTCGATGGGGCCAGAGCAGCGCAAAGATCTAGAGGCGCAGCTGCCGGGAGCGCACGGGAGCCACCCGGCAGCGCCCGACGCCTACGAGCCGCTACCGTCGACGCTGACGGTGGGTCGGCCTGCCCGCCGCTGCTCGACTCATCCATGCCAAGGGCACATTTGTGAATTGAAATTGACGCTCGGGGCATGCTGCCTTGCTGCAGAGGCTGGGACGGCACTCTCTAGCTTCCGCCGGTCGGTTGCACGGCGGCACCCCCGACGGCTCCACCCACCACCTGCCCGACGTCATCCAGCCGCTGGCTCCTGGGGATGACAATGATGAGCTGTGTGACCACATGTGAGCAGTGCAGCAGGGGCGCGAGGGCTGGCGCTCCTGCCTGGCGGCAGCCTCATTTCCTGCCTGTCATCAGCCTCGTTGCCGTGCAGCTCGACCAGCGGCGCCACCTGCGCTAGCCACCTTTGCCAAGCTTGCCCCCTGACCGTGCCCCTCGCCCCTCGCCCCGCCCACTTCGCGCCGCGCAGGCACCACAGCAACCGCGCGCCCTGGCTGCGAGCGCTGGTGCTGGGCGCCAACGACGGGCTGGTGTCCATCGCTTCCCTCATGATGGGCGTGGGCGGCGGCACCTCCGACCTGGCCACGCTGCGGCTGGCGGGCGTGGCGGGCCTGGTAGGCGGCGCCCTCTCCATGGCGGTGCGTGGGGTGGGCCGGGCTGTACATGCATGCAGGGCATGCCTGCAGCCAGGGCACAGCCACAGCCTCGCCTGCTGTGTCTGCTGCATCCCAGACCGCCTCCTGCTGCTGGCCTGGTGCTGCCGCATCCAGCCCTGTTTATTTGCCTCGCAACCGTGGTGTCCCTGACGCCCCCTGGCTGCTCCCCGGCGGGCCTTTGCTGCTGGCGCAGGTGGGCGAGTACATCTCTGTGAGCAGCCAGCGGGATGCCGAGAAGGCGGACATCGAGCAGGTGGGCGGGGGTGGATCCCCGGCAGCGGGAGTTTGTTTTCAACGCCACGGCCGCTGGGAGGGCGTCGGTGGTGTGGATCCGAGCTGCAGGGCTGTGTGTGCGATGCTGCGGCGCTGCGGGCCTGCCCCGCCGCTGGCGCAGGAGCGGCTGGAGCAGCTCAAGGGGCCGGTGGCGCAGGCGCGGGAGCTTGAGGAGCTGGCGCAGATCTATGTGGCGCGCGGGCTGCCGTACAACCTGGTGGGGCTCCCCGCCGCACCTCCTGCCCCCACCTGTGGCAGGAGCTGGTCCCGGATGCTGGGCAGCATGGCTGGTGCCCCGCCCGGGGCTTCCGCCTGCTGCTGGTGTGGCTCTGACAGCTGCCCGGGCTCGGCCTGCGCCTGCAGGCCCGCCAGGTGGCTGAGGTGTTGACGGAGAAGGACGTGATCAGGGCGCATGCGAGGGACGAGCTGGGCATTGGTGAGGCTGGAGGCGGGAGCTGGTAGCCTCTCTCGCTGGTCTGGCAGCCGGCTGGCCTGCATGCACCAGGCAGACCTTCTCCACGTCCCCAAGCTGGCCTGTGCGGCCCAGCAGTCAGCAACCTGGCCCTCTTGCCTGCCTGCCTGCCTGCCCTGCAGACATTGACGAGCTGGCCAACCCGCTGCAAGCCGCCGTGGTGTCGGCCATCTGCTTCACATGCGGCGCGGCCCTGCCGCTGCTGAGCGCGGCCTGGATCATGGACCCCAACCTGCGCCTGGGCATCCTGGCGGGAGCCACCACCAGTGAGTGGCGGCTGCAGCAAGGCGGGGGCGTGGGGTGAGGACAGCGAGTGCTTCGGTTTCGGTGTGCCCCGCATGCTGCCACAGCAGAGCCACATCCCTCTGACCTGCATGCTGTGCTCGCCTCCCGCCCTTGTGCTGCTCGCAGTCGGTCTCTGCTTCTTCGGCTTCCTGGGCGCATACCTGGGGGGCGCGGGCGTGTGCCGTGGCGGCATGCGCGTGCTGCTGGGCGGCTGGATGGCGTTGGGGATTGTGTATGGCATGTGAGTTCCGCCGGAGCCTGCTCTGGGCTGGGCAGCCCTGTCGCACTGAAAGGGCTGTGGATTGCCACAGGCAGGCAGCCGGTGCGTGCTGGGCAAAATCGTAGCTGGTGCGTCCTGGGCAAAGTCGTAGCTGTGTTTGCCCTGTGCCTGCAGCGGCCGCGCCCTGAATGTGGAGAGCTCCGGATGAGGCGGTGGCGCCTGCCGCCTGCGGCGTGCTGTACCGCTGTCGCCCTATCCTGATGGCTCGGGGAGGCAGGCGGCAGGCACATGCAGGCATGTTCTTTTTGAGGGTGGAGGGATTCATTTTCTCGCTTCCGGACCCGACGCTGCCACCCACCGCACACCAAGCACGGTGCTCTATCGCTGGCAATTTCGCTGATTGGTTTCGTTGCTGACTTGATACTATCTCTCATGGTTGGCTCTCTCATGGTAACACATGCGCAGGCCGTTGCAGGCACCGGCAGCCAGGTACTGCCTGGCGCGGGTGGGGTACAGGCGCCAGCGGTCCAGCATGCTCAAGCGGCGAGCGGAGGTTCCAGCGCATGCCGCCCTGCTGCGTCACGGGCCGCATCGTGATCGCTCCGTAGTGTGATCAGGTGACTAATCCGATCGGTTCTGGGTGCCTCACACATCCTTTGGTTGGACTCTGACGTGGCCATCCTTCCCGCCTGATGCCATCCCACCTCCCTGCGCCCTCTCCAACTAGTCGGGAGTTCGCTTCGTTGGTGGTGGAGTCGAAACCGACAGAGGCTTGCAGGCACGGAGGGTCTTGCAGCAGCGACAAGCAATGCTGGCGCTGAGCAGCCGGTGCTGTGTCCCGCCGGGCGTTGTCGCTGCGGGACGGCCACGGGGCGGCTGCAGAGCGCTGGCGGCCCGCCAACGTCAAGAGCTGCGACCCAAGCGCGCTCGGCTGGCACCGGCAGCAGCCCAGGGCCCGCCTGCAGCTGAGGACATCAAGGCGGAGGACCTGCCCATCGATGAGCCGTTCGGCCTGGGTAAGCAGGCTGCTGGCCGGGTTGCCGGCCCGCCGTGGCGGTGGCGGCGGCGGCGGCGCCCGTGTTTCGCCGGGCGTCGTGCAGCGTCCAGCAGCGCGGTGCAGCCGCTCGCGCCAGCACACATTCGAGCACCTCCGTGGCTGCATCTCACACGCCTGGCGCGCTGCTGCAGTGCAAGACATGATGACCACCGGGGCGCTGCGCTTTGCCACCCCCGACCAGCCGCTCTCCTCGGCCGCCTCCAAGCTGGACAAGGTGACGGGGCTGGCGGTTTTGGACGACAGCAACGCCGTGGTGGGCGTCATCTCTATCCGAGACATCAACCGGCTGCGCAAGCAGGTGCGTTTTGATGGGGGCGGGCGCCACATGCGCCGCGCGGCGGCGGTTGGGCTGTTGCGGCACCGCATGCCGGGCGTCTGGGGCCAAGGTCTGCGGCCCCCGCAGGCATGTGGCGCGGTCTGCTGACCGGGGAGCTGTGCCGCGTGTGCCACGCCGCGCCGTCTCATCCATGCAGGGCGCCAGCATGGACGAGACGGTGGGGGTGCACATGTCGACGCCGCCCATCGTGGTGCGGCCCACCACCCGCACCGGCGAGGCTGCCGCCATCATGCTGGCAAAAAAGATCCACCGCCTGCCCGTGGTGGATGAGCAGGGCAAGCTGGTCGGGTGAGCGGGGCGGGGCGGGCGGAGGTCAGGCGGCGGGAGGGCCGCGACGGCGGCGGCGGCGGCAGCGGCAGCGGCAGCGTGTGGCTGGGGGTTGAAACAACAAGAAGCGGGCCAGGGTGGTGGCGGAATAGGCCGGGCGCGAGCCATTCTGAGGGCCCTCGCCACGCTCCCAGCCACCCCACCCCCGTGCCTCCCTCCCTCCGGCCCGCCCTCCCCGCCTCCCCGCGCGCAGCATCATCAGCCGCACCGACATCTTCCAGCGTGCGCTGGCGGCCAAGCAGGAGTTCTTCCGGGAGATGTCGGCCTATGGGGAGGACTACCTGGGCGACGACCTGCTGAACGTGCGTGTGTGTTTTGTGTGTGTGTGGTTGGGGGGGGAGGGGGGGGAGGTGGCTTTGCTCAGGCAAGCCGCGCTGCGCTGCGTGCTCTGGGCCTGAATGTGTGTGGAGAGGGTGGGTGTGTGGGGCAGGGCTGAGGCAAGCCGCGCTGCACTGCGTGCTCTGGGCCTGAATGTGTGTGGGGTGGGGGTGGATGGGGGGGGCGCAGGGCTGTGGCAAGCCGCGCTGCGCTTCGTGCTCAGCGCCGCGGCTGGGCTGGGCAGCGTCGTGCTCCCTCGATCCCGCGAGCGTGCTTGCTCTTGTGCTGGACCCCAGCGCCGCCATCGTCGGTTGGGCCCTGCCGCCAATGTCCCGCCGCTCGCCTGCTCGCCTGCCTGCCTGCCTGCCCGGCCTCCCATGGCGCCGCCCCCGCTGCCGCCACGCAGATGCGCAGCAGTCTGTCGGCCACGTTTGATGAGGAGGAGGAGGCGGCCAAGTGCGCAATCATGGAGGAGGCGTGGTGAGGGTGCTGGCTGGGCCGCCGCTGTTGTCGCTGGCATGGCCGCACCCCTGCCCGCCCCACCCGCGGCTTGGCTGGCGCTGGCCTGCTGCGCAGCGGCTGGGAGCGGGCCGCCGCAGGCCGCCCCTGCCCCGCCTCCCACCCGCCGGCCGGCTGCGGCCGCTGCGTATCCCTGACCGACCCTCTGTGCCCCCCTCCTTTCTTCCCGGCATCTCCTGTCTCTCTGCCCTGGCAGGACCACCAAGTACCTGTACGACGGTGACTGCTCCATGTGCCTGTCCCTGGTGTCCATGCTGAAGCGCCAGGACGACGGCCAGGGGCGCATCAAGTTTGTCAACATCGCCAGCATGGCGTACGACCCGGCGGAGAACGAGGGCATCCTGTATGAGGAGGCCATGGAGGTGGGTGGTGGGCAAGGGAGAGGAGGAGGAGGAGGAGGGGGCAGCAAGGAGCTGTTGGGAGCAGGGTGGAACGCGGGGCGCGCGGCCGCACGCCGGCTGCCGGCGACGGCGACGGCGCTGCTTGCCGCTGGGCGTGCCGGCTGTGCGTGGTGGCGCTGACGGCGCCAGCAAACGGCCTGCCAGGCGCCAGCCCTGCGCCGCTGCGCCCGCCTCGCTTCGCCGCGCCTCTGCACGCCCTCGCCGCACCTCCACACGCCGTGCCGCCCCCGCGCAGACCATCCACGCCATCAAGCGGGACGGTACCATCCTGAAGGGCACCGAGGCGCTCAAGCAGCTCTACTCGGCGGTGGGCATGGGCTGGGCCGCCCAGTTTGGAGACCTGCCTATCATCTCAACCGTGAGTGCCAGGCCTGGGCCCCCCGCCTGCCAACCACGGCTTGGCCCTGGCTCAGCAGCAGGCCGCGCTGCGCCGTACATGCACATCCCCTTGCCCCCTAAACTGTCCGGCGCTGCCGCCGGCGCAAGCGGCCGCCTCCCCACGCTCCGCGGGTCCCTGCCGGCCCAGCCAGCCAGCCTATCACACACACACACACACACACACACACACGGCTGCCGCCTGCCTGCAGGTGGTGGAGTGGGTGTACGAGGTGCTGACCAAGCTGCGCATGCCGGTGGGCAAGGGCATGGATGCGGTGCTGGCCATGCGGCGCATGAAGATGACCAGCGAGGGCATCGAGCACTGCGTGGACGACGAGGAGGAGTGCGAGGCGGAGTGGTAGGCGCCGGGCTCCCGCCTTCCCCGCTGCCAGGCTCCTGCCGCCCGCCGCCGGTTGGCTGGTGGAGAGCAGGCGTGTGCGCGCCTGCCGGTGTCACCCGTTCCCTTGTCGCAGCGTGTCGATGCATGTGGTTTGCTGCCCCGGTCTCGTCGCTTTCTCTTTTCCGCTGCTGTTCCAACCCCGTGCCGCTTGCTGGCACCAGTGACAGCTGCCCACAGGCGCTCGCTGCGCTGCTTGTAACGCCCCCACGTCTGCGCCCAAATTATTTCCTGCACTGCATTCCTTTTGGCGTACCAACAACATGAAGCCAATGCTGATTTCATCATCATGATTACATGATGTTGCAGGTGTATTAACACCTGCAACAGAGGCAAACCATGGTGATCCATTTCAAACTACAGTGTCATCCTCATCCTCATCATCTCCCACGTGCCGCCATTGCTCTCGATGCCACGTGCCCCTTGCTCCTCCAGGTAGGCCTCCCGATCACCAGTCCCCTCCTGGCGGGGGTCATGCATCCCCCACCCATCATGCATTTCAGGCTTCATCTCCCTCAAACCTCCACCATTTTCCCTCTCGTTTGTCGTGATCGACTCCGGGTAGCCCAAATGCTTCATGACTCCCCCCAAGCTGCACATCAGCGTGCATGAGTCCAACCCTGGGAGGCGCCTTGACAATGAACAGCCGCGCAGGCAGGCATCTAAAAGACCAGGTCAGGCTCCTCCTATAAATCATCCCGGGCAGCGCAGCCGGCGCCATGCCGAGGCGGGGCCAAACACCTCGAGCAGCAGCGGCTGGTGGAGCGAGCGGCAGCAGCGCAGGCACGATGCTTGGGACGACAGGAGAGAGGCGGACGAGCAGATGATGCTGGCCACCACACCGCAGCGGGCGGCGCTGCAGGCGGGGCAGCGGGCGGCAGAAATCCAGCAGGTTCAGGCGCGGCTGGACAGCACGGAGCCACTGCGCTGCTGGCCCACAGCTGGCCGGCATGACGGCACTCTTTGCTGTTTCAGGAAGACTGGAACCATGCCGGCAGTGTATCACGGCCTTGGCGGCGTGGCGGGCTCCCTCGTGGTGCCCATTTTTGGGTGCACTTCGCACGGCGAGAAGAACGTCACAGCGCACCCGTTCCAGGTTGGCTGTGTGCCCACCAGCCCTGTGATCAACACTGTCTACCTCTCAGAAGATTTGGTGGAGATGTTCCGGCTGTTGCAGCTCAAAGACGGCGTTGGTGGGCATGGTGG